CATCTCGGGCCCAAACTGGCACTTGGCCAGGCGCGACGCCTCCTCCCGCATTTCCTGCACGGCAGCCAGGCGCGAGCAGGGATGAGCAGGGCGTGCAGCAGCAAAGAAGGAGCCAGGGGGCAGGGCAGGTGCCGCCAGCAGGGGCGGGCGGTGCCTGAAGGGGCGCCTGGGTTCCGCCTGAAGCGGCGCAGCCCCTCCTCACCTTCTCAAAGCCCTCCCTGCCCAGCGAGGCTTGCAGCGCCAGCCGCTCCTTGAGCTGGGACACCAGCTTGGTTTCGCGGTCCTGCAGGGGAAGCCGGGCGCCGCCACAAAGGCAGGCAGGGGTCAGCAGCCGCCAGCTGCGTCGCAGCCAGATTACGGCAGGGCTTGGCTCGGCCGGCTCACGTCTGCAGCGGGTGACAGAGCCAGCTCAGCGGCGCCAGCTCAGCAGCCTGGTTCAGCCCCACCTTTTGCACCGCCGCCATCTTGGTGCGCAGCTCGGCCTGGTTCACCTGGCCGCCGCCGCCCTCGGCGGCGATGGTGGCCGCCGTGGCAAGCTGCAGCTGGCCTGGAGGCAGCGGGGCAGGCGCAAGAGGGGGGTTGGTGGAGGGAGAGGGCAGTCGGACGGCAAGCCACTGCCAGGCAGGGCATCCGGTGACCCAGGGGTAGGCAGCGCATGGATGTGTCGGGGCTGCTGCTGCCCTTGCAAGCGCCGGCTCACCCACATACTCCTCAAACACGTCGCTGCCTGCATCATCGAGAGGGCCCAAGGGAAGGGCCGGTTACAGCGGCAGGGGCCAGGCCGGCGCATGCACAGGCCCGCCGGGCTGCTCTGCTGCCACCCACCAAACATCACGCCAAACAGGGCTCCAGGGTCCATCAGGGGCGCATCAGACACGCCCGCCGCGCCCAGTCGGTCATAAGCCTCCCGCTTCTGAGGGTCAGACAAAATCTGGTAGGCGGTGCCAAGCTCCTGCAGCAGCAGCAGCAGCAGCAGGGACGGCGGCAAAAGGTCAATGCCAGTGGCTGGCAGGTGGCGCGGCTTCCTAAGTCACGCGGGCAGGCTGAGAGGCGGAGAGGCGGAGGGGCTCGACGGGTGGGTGCTGCTGGCGCAAAATGCGCGGGCGCTGGCACGCCGTGCGTGCCTGGAAGCGTGCCTTGGCGGTTGGGTCGTTGGGGTTCTTGTCTGGGTGGCACTGCAGCAAGGGGAGCCGCCGGCGCGGTGTCAGCAGCGGCGCTGCACTGGAGACACGCGCCTGCAGCAGGCTGCCGGCAGCGGTCTGGCGGGCCCACCTCGCGGGCTCGCATGTAGTATGCCTTCTTTATCTGTGCCTCTGTGGCATCGGGGGCCACCCCCAACAGTTCATAGTAGGCAGTTTCTTTCACCATGGCTCGGCCTGCAGGAGTGACGCGAGAGCGGGGTGAGACGCAAAGCGGCGCGGCCGCCGCCACCGCCACCGCCGTTCACCCCCGGCCCTGCCCACCGCGGGCGATGGAACTGTGCGCTGCGCGCTCCTCGCTTGCTTCTTGAGCGCCACTTGTGCTCCCCGGCTAGCACTTCTGCGGTTCTCACGACAAACAGCTGTGATGGGCAAAATGTTCTGGACGCTGGAAACCCAAGACTTGCAGTGCTCTTTCTGCAACGTGAGCAAGCACGGCGGAACTATCAGGAACATGCGCAGCTTCTCATGTGGGACGCGGAGCTTGCCCCGGCTGCCATCTGGCAGCGTTGTCCCCCATGAAAGAAGCTATCTTGCGGTCTCTAACGCGCGGAGAAATCACAATGAATGTACAATTGGTTGAAGGGAGCCCCGCCGGATTAGAACAATACCTGCGCCCTCTGCCGCCGCCGCCCGCCTCGCTGCCGGTGCTGGGCCAAAAACTCCCCACGCCCTGATGCTGCTTCCCATCGCCAGCCATCATGAGGACGGTTCTACCACTGGCACGAAATCGTAGAAATACTCGTCTTCGGCAAACAGGCAGAAACATGCACGCACTCGGGCTGCATTCGGCTTGGCGGCAGAGCTTCCGCCGCTGCACCATCAATCCCACAGTCGCCTTGTCCGACAATAGCACCCCAGCGCTGCAAGACAGCACGCAGAATCAAAAAAAAAAATGAGGTTGAGATTCATTCGCTGTCGGAAACAACAATGACATCGCCCTCTGGGTCCAGCGCCTGCTGCCGTACGCGGTGCAGCTCTGCGGCAGCCAGAGCGCCGCTGCCGCCGCCAGCCTGCTCCTGGAAGCACTTCCGCAGCTTGCGCTGCGGCGCTGGGGAAGGCGTGGCGCGTGGCGAGTGGTACGCGTCCCTGCCGCCCTGCGGCTGCTGCTGCTTTAGCCGCTGCAGCAGCGGCAGCGGCGAGGGGCTCACAAGGTCGATGGCGTCAGCCGTTGCTGGTGGCACCACACCAGGGCTGCCACTACCACCTTGCTCCCCATCCTCCCGCTGCTGCTGCGGCGGCGGCGGCTCCTGCACATGCTGCTGCTGCGCCTGCCGCAGGCGCTGGGCCAGCGGTACCAGCAGAAACGCATCCTCCGAGTCTGACAGCTCCACCACCTCTGCATGCTGCTGCTGCTGCTGCTGCTGCCAGGGCCTCTGCTGGCCACCCCTGCCGCCGCCGTCTGATCCGGCCGCCAACTGGGCGGGAGCAGCAGCAGCGCCAGGGGGGGAGGACAGGCCAAACTCGTCCCAGGGCAGCGCCTCTGCTACATCCACCGCAGCTTCTTGTGTCTGCGACTGGCTTGCTTGCTGCGGCCAGCCGCTGCTGCTGCTGCTGTTGCTCGCCCCGCTGCCGCTGTCTGGTCCCAGCAGCGGCTGCAGCTTGCGAGGACGGCCACGGCGCTTTGGGGGCGCTGCAGCTGCTGCCTGGCGGCCACCACCTGGCAGCTCCTCAAGCTCTTTGAGGCCTGCTTCCAATCCTGCCACTGCTGCCGCTGCTGCTGCTGTGCCGGCAGCGCCAGCCTTGCGGCCGCGGGGCTTGCGACTGGCGCCCTGCCTGCCAGCAGCAGCAGCCGACTCTCCGGGAGACCCTTGCTGCTGCTGCTGGGAGGCTGCTGCCATGGCTGCATCGGGCTGGCCGCCAGCCGCGTCTGCCCTGCCGCCGCCGACACCCTGCTTGCCTCTGCCGCGCTGCTTGTTCTTGTCCCACCCCGCATTCTCCACGCTGCGCAGGGCATCTGCCCATGTCAGCTGGGCGCCACAGACGGGGCAGCTGCCGCGGCTGGGCAGCAGGCCGGCAGCAGAAGCGGCACTGGCGCCGCTGCCAGCACCCCCAGGCTGCAGGAAGTGCCGTGCCAGGCACTCCACATGCGTGCGGATGCCGCAGCAGGCGCAAGGCACCCAGGTGCGGCTGGCCGCCTTGCCGCAAAGCTTGCAGGCGGCGGCGGCGCGCGCGGCAGCCCGCTTGCCCTCGCCCTTCTTGCCCTTGCCGCCTTTCGGCGCTGCCTCCACGCCGTCTCCGCTGCTCGCCTCGTCCAGCTGCTGCGAGGGCGCCGCCGTGAGCATGCTGGCAGACTGTGAGGGCAGCTGGGAGGCCGCCAGAAGGGGGCCACCCGCCTCCACCTCTTCGCCGCTGATGTCGCCAGACCCGCCCTCCTCGCTGCCGCCCTGCGGCTCAGGATCCTCCACGTCCTCCACCCCCTCCGGCAACGCCTGCAGGCCAGCCAGCACAAGGGAAAGGGCGGGAGCTTGGATCACCCAGCCAGCTCGCTGTGGTAGGGTTCTTGCAGGGCTATGCAGGCCTCGCTATGCACGAACAACAGGCTCTGCTTCACCCCACCCTCTTTCGTCCTGCCCTCCTCCTCACCTCCAAAGGCGCCACCAGCACCTGCATGTGCTCCGGCGGCGGCGGGCACTTGCCACGCAGCGCCGAGTGCTGGGAGGAAAGGAACTGCAGGGTGAGCGGGTAGTAGCACCAGGGCTCCGCCCGCAGCATCTCCATCAGGAGCAGCACCTGCTCTCCGCAACAGGGAGGACCAAGGAGGGAGGCGGGCAGGCAGGGCAGGGCGAGGTGAGCAGTGGAGTGCTGCAGCCAGCAACCTGTGGCCTGCTAGCAGAGCCCAGGCCAAAGGGATCTTGCCGGCTGCTGGTGAACGCAGCCCTGAGCAGCGCAGTCGCTCTCCCCTGGGCCCCAGCCTGCCAATCCACACCGCATGCCAGCGCCTTCCTCACCTTGCCCGACACGCCGTAGCGCTTCTGGCGGCCCAGCCGCGCAGCGATGCCCCTCACTTCAATGCTCTTCTCTGGGTGCTGCCAGGCCCACTCGAACTGCAGCGCCTGCACCTGGCTGGGGAAGCCAAACACCACCAGCACCATCTCCCAGGGCCGGTGCCTGCGGCAAGGGTGGCCAAAGGGCGGCGGGGGTGGGGTGGGGAGAAGCAGCAGCCAGGATGAGGCAGGCCAGGTAGTGATGAGTGCAGGCCGCAGATACTACTGGCCGCTGTCGCAGGCACACTTGCGCACCAATGCCTGCCGCCTGGACACCTGCAAACCCCACGGCTCACCGCTTGGTCTTGGCCGCCCCGTTGACCAGCTCGCCATTGTGCTGGCGGATGCGGCGCCGCGGGTTGACCGTGAAGCCCACGTAGCTGCGCCCCTTGGCCCGCGGGTTCTTGCTTTCCAGCAGGTAGCAGCCAAAGAACTCGCGCATCGTGGCGGCACGCCCGAGCCGTTCGCCACCCGCGTCGGCAGCGGCCGCGGCGGTGGCAGCGGCGGTGGCGGGAGGGCCGTTGGCGGGGATGTCGATCGGTGGTGCTGCTCCAGATGGTTGGAAGGCAGCTGCCGAGGCAGTGGCTCGCCGGGCGGGGCGCAGAGATGGGCCCGAAATGTGTCGGGCTGTTGCGAAAGCCAGCAGGCGCCCTGTGCCCGCCAGCAGCATAGGACGGAGGTGATTAACTGATCGGGAAGGGCTGCAATCGATCGCGCAGGGCGGTTGCCCTGAACCTGCTGTCGTGCTGTGCACTGAGGAGGAAAACGTGCGAGGCCAAAAGCGCGCTGCGGAACCGCCCTGTGGCTGTTCTGCTGCCAGCGATGGAGCCCCCTGAACCTGCTGTCCAGCTCTCCAGCCCATGAGTGCCGCTGTGCAAGCTTTGAGGCCAGCAGCTCTCGAAATGGCCACCAGCGTGCTTGCGGCTGGCAGTAGGCTCGCGGCAAGCCAGCTGAAATACGCTGCGGCGCAGGGGGTTCGCTTGGCAGACAGCTTCAGGTGAGGGCACGCATTTGCTGCCGGAAGGCCGCCCCCACGACCATTCTGACCCTCTCTTTTCACGCCTGCAGCCGGGAGGTTGTCGATGATATCTTTGCGTGCGCTCTGAAGAAGCAGACGGGCGTGAGCCTGAAGTACATGTGAGACCCCAAGGCCCTGGGGCCTCCCTGGGCGGGCAGGGAAGGCCTGCGCGCCGCATCTGGCCCCGCGGTGTGCGGGCAGGCAGGGGTGTGGGGCACGGCGGCAGCGCCGCCACGCGGCGGGCACCCCCGCCCTTGCTGCAGCCCTTGCCCGGCGCCGCGCACTGCAGCCCAGCTGCGCCGACGCCCTAGCCAGCGGCCCCTCATCGCCGCTGCCACCCCCGGGCCGGGCACGCTGCAGGCTTGACTTTGGGTCTAAGCCGATTGAGCGCCAGCTCATCCTGTCCGCCCAGTTCCTCCACAACGAGCTGCCAGTGCGGCTGTCGCACCGCGTGGCGGAGCTGGAGAACCTGCCTTACGGCCTGTCTGCCAAGCCGCATGTGCTCAAGGTAAACCTGCATTGCTGGAGCAAGGCAGTGCGGTGCCTGCAGCGGAGTGTGTGTGCAGCAAGCCGCTGCATGGCAGGCTGGAGGCGGCTTGTCCCTGGCTGGGTGGGCGGGCAGGACTGGCTGCGGAGCTGGGCACAGCTTGCAGGCAGCCTGCTGGCGGGGTGAGCCCTCGGTTGGCCGCAGCATCAAGCAGTAGCGGCATCCAGCAGAGGTTGCACCTGGCGGCTGGGCACGCCGCTCACACCTCTGCTGCTTGCCCTCACCGTACAACAAACACACACACACACACACACTACCACCGCCTGGATGCCGCCTCGCAGGTGCGCGACTGGTATGTGGAGTCGTTCCGCGAGCTGCGGGGCTTCCCCAAGGTCAAGGATGCGGGGGACGAGCTGCAGTTCACACGCCTGCTGCAACACATCTACCGCCGCCACACCAACGTGGTGCCAGTCATGGCCATGGGCGTGGCGGGTGCGCCGCCTCGCCTGCCGCTGCTGCCGGCTCTGCTGCGCGGCCTGCCGGCTGCCGCTGCCGCTGGGTCTGGAGCCGCTGCCGGCTTTGCCGCTCCGCCTGCCGCCGCGGCCCGGCTCGGGTGCTGGCCGTGCCGCCGCGCCAGCCGGCAAGCCCTAGGGTCGAGCGGCGCTTTCTGCTGCCCCTGCGCTCTGCCTTGCAGAGCTGAAGCGGGAGCTGAGCCAGGCCATCGGGCTGGATGACCTGCCAGACATCCACCGGGTGCGCAGGCTGCTGTCTCCCATCAAATCTGGTTCCGAGCCGTTGGCTGGAAAGCGCACGAGACGCCAGGGCGGGACAGCTGCCGCGCGCCTGCCCCGGTGCTGACCGCCGCACTGCGCTGCCTGCCCTCGCCCCCTGCCTCCTCCTCTCCTCTGCAGTTCCTGGATGGCTTCTACCTGTCTCGCATCGGCATCCGCATGCTCATCGGGCAGCACATCGCGCTGCACGAGCCTCCGGTGAGAGGGGTGAGGGGGCCACGGCGTGCGCTTGCTGCGTTGGTGGGGAAGCGTGGGGAGGGGCGCCACACAGCTGGCGGCGCGCTCTGCAGCGGGCCCCGGCGGTGCAGCGGCCTGCTTCTGGAGCGGCGGCACCTGGCCCGTGCGCCGCCCGCGCGCCGCGCCTCCCTCGTGCCGCCTGCCTGCCTCCTTCCGCGCCCATCGCTGCCCCCGCCCCCTGCCCCCCCGTCTGGCCTTCTAGCAGCGCGAGAACCACATCGGCCTGATCGACACCAAGTGCAGCCCCGCGGGGGTGTGCCAGGACGCAATCGACGACGCGCGCAACATCTGCATGCGCGAGAAGGGCTCCGCGCCCGACGTGACCGTGTACGGCGACCCCTCGTTCACCTTCCCCTACGTGCCCAGCCACCTGCACCACATGGTGAGACCCCCACCCCCAGCCCCTGCAGAGCAGCCCGGGCCGCGCCGGCGGCTTGCAGGCGGCTTTGGGCTGGCGCCCGGCTGGCTGGCGGCCCGCGTGGCAGCGGGAGCAGCGCTTGCCGCGTTGCCAGCCCGCCCAGGCGCGCCCATCTCGCCCCGGCCTAAGCACCCCTGCCTGCCTGCCTACCTGCCTGCCTGCCTGCCTGCCTTGCCTGCAGGTGTTTGAGCTCGTGAAGAACAGCCTGCGCGCCGTGCACGACCGGTTTGAGGACGCGGACGACGACCCGCCGCCCATACGCCTGGTGGTGGCGGAGGGGGAGGAGGACATTACAATCAAGGTGGGCGAGGGGGAGAGCGTGCGTGTTTGGGGTGGCGGGTGGGGTGAACAGTGGTTGTCGTGGTTTGTGTGTGGGTGCGTGTCTGTGTGTGTGTTTGTGTGTGTGGAGGTTGGGGCAGCGGAGGGAGCAACATTTTGCACGCCTGCGGGCCGCTGCGTGTTGGGTAGGCTCTCTGCCACCCAGCGCCGGGCTGGCAAGCCGGCAAAGCAAAGGCCCGCGCCCGCGGCGCCCTCTCGCCCCAAGCTGCCGCCGCTTGACGCCCCCTCGGCCCTCGCCCCTGGCCGCCACCCCCCGCAGGTGTCTGACGAGGGCGGCGGCATCCCTCGCTCCGGCCTGCCCCGCATGTGGACCTACCTATACACCACCGCCAAGAGCCCGCTGGAGGAGATGGATAACACAGAGGCGACAGAGGGCAGCGACGGGCCGTCGGTGCTGGCGGGGTGAGCGGCGCGCGCGGGGGCGGCGGCGCGCGCGGGGGCGCCTGCCGGCCGTTGGGGGGGCGCTGCCGTGGGGCGGCCCGCGGGCGCCTGGGGCTGCTCAGCAGGCAGCTTCCTCGTGTTGCCATCCAGCCACGCGGCCATCCACCCCCTCACCGTGCCCCTCCCGTGCCCCGCCGCCTGCTTGCCTTCTGCCCGCTGCAGCTACGGGTACGGCCTGCCCATCAGCCGGCTGTACGCGCGGTACTTTGGAGGGGACCTGTCCATTATCTCCATGGAGGGATACGGCACGGGTGCGTCGCCGCCGCCGCCGCCGCCGCTCCGTGCCTGCCTGCCTGGCTCGACTTTCCCGCCATCGCCAGCTGTTTCTGCGGCTTGTGGGGCCTTGGCCGGAGCGCATCGCGCCTGGCTGCCTGCCCGCCTGCCTGCCTGCCTGCCTGTGGCTGGTGGTGGGCTGGAGGGCAGGCTGTGCACGGCTGGCTTCCCTCCCCGGTCCACAGCTCACCTCACCACCCTGCCTGCGCCTGCCTTCTCCCCGCCCTTCCGCCGCAGATGCCTACCTCCACCTCAACCGACTCGGCAATGTGCAGGAGCCGCTGCCGTGAGAGCGCCCACCCAGCAGCGCGTGGCCGCCCCAGTTTTTCAACAGATGCCCTTCGTTGTTGCTGGAGGCGCGGGGGCCGTGCCCCGCGCCCGGTGTGTACCATTACTATCCTTGCACCGCACACACACACACACGCCCCGCACACACACCACAGGCCGACACCGGCCCGCATGGGTTGGCCACCCACACCTCACCCTAGCGCAGCGGCCGTTCCGCATCGGGCCCCGGGAGCGGCCCTCCCCACGCTCGCCACCATTGTTTTCATTGGCGGTAGCCACCCCAAGCCGGCACGGGTGGCCTGGGCGCCCCCCTTAGGGCAGCCCCAGGCTGGTTTTCTTCGCCCACGCAGCGGCCGGCGCGTAGCGGGGCGCTCGTTTTTTTGGCGCGCCCCCGCGCCGCCTGCGTGCGGCCGGCTCACTCTGGCTGTCGCCGCGCCTGCCCCCATTTCGTGGTATCCCTCTGCGCACCTCCATCATGCTGCTATCGCCGTCAGCAAGCTTCTTTTGGGTTCTGAGATCGCATGCCTGAATTGACCCGGCGGCCGAGCGCCTGTGGACTATAGGTGTCCTCCGCCTGCGAGGGCCACTCCATCGCACGATGTAACATCGGCCTTTCCCACCTCAATTCCACCTCGCCGGCAGAGAAGGGGAGTTGGGTGAATTCGAGGTGGGCTGCAGTGCGCTCTTGGCGGCGGCAGGGCGGTGCGACGGGCACAATGTGGCGGCGGGCGCTTGCCTGGCGCTTTTGCAGAGTTCACCCAAAGTTCAACACATCCACATTGCAGCGCTGTGATTCGCTCCACTCGTATCGACTGGGTCTCTGTCGGCTGCTGCTCGGTGGTTCGTGGGTGAGCCTCTGCTCGGCACCAAATTGGCCTGCTTCCAACACAGGACCCAAGGTAGCTTAGCCTCGACATTTCAGTGGCCCTGCCGACACCAATGCGCTTGTCTCTGCACGTCCTCGGTCGCGGCGCTCGCACACCCCTGCAGCCATGGCATCCTCCTGCGCCGCGCTGCTGGCAGCCAATCCTGAGGCCTGGCGCGGCGCCATCGAGCACCCATTCCTGGACGAGTGCCAGAGCGGTGCCATCCGCGAGGCGCAGTTCAACGCCTGGCTGGTGCAGGTGGGCCAGGCGGCAGGCGGCGGGCAGCGCTCCCAGCCTGGGAGTGTTGAGACGTGTGTGCGAACCCCCTCCCACCCCGCCTGCAGGACGGCCGCTTTGCGACCGAGTTCACTCGGTTTGCCGGGTCCATGCTCACCAAGGCGCCTGCTGCCAGGCTGGACCTGCTCCTGGGCGGGCTGGGGGCCCTCAAGGACGAGCTGCTGTGGTTTGCAGCGACCGCGGCGAAGCGCGGGCTGCCGCCGCCGCCGGGCGCCCCGCCCCACCCCGCCTGCCAACGCTACCTCCAGTTCATGGATAATGCGGCGAAGCAGCCGTACGCTGTGCACGCTGTGGTCTTCTGGGCCATCGAGCGCTGCTACTGGGAGGCCTGGAGCTCCCACCTGCCCATGCGGGAGCCCTACCACTCGTTTGCGCTGCGCTGGGGCTCCCCCGAGTTTGGGGCTTATGTGGGGGAGCTGGAGCAGATGGCGGATGAGGCCCTGGCTGCTGGAAGCGAGGCGGAGAGGTGGGCTGCCTGGGTGCAGAGGCTCTGCAGAGCAGCTGGGTCTCAAAGGATGCGCCGATGCGGTGTCCAATTCCAGCAGCCCAGGGGTGGGCAACGTGGGGCGCCTGGCCTCCTCGCTGCTCCGAGCTGGCGCTGGCGGCATGCTTTTGTTTCTGATGCCCCTGCAGGGTGGAGGCAGCTGCTGTGTTCCTTAAGGTGTGCCAGCTGGAGCGCGAGTTTTGGGCGATGGCCTACAGCGAGGGGAAGTGAGGTGTGGGAGCGCGAGCGCTGCTTGCTACTCTGCCCTGTTAATCCTGCTACCTTCGAACAACCATTGAGTTCGTGGCTGTAAGTCAGGGCTGTTAGGCTTGGATTGCAAAATGTGAGGGAAGATCAGCAAAAGGAGGGACAATGCAGGGTCGCCAGCTGTTGCTGCTGGCTTGGTGGCTGGGGAGGCGGACAGAGGATAGGAAATGATGCGGCAGTCAAAAGTGAGGGCCCAAGAGCAAATAGGGAGGCTTGTGTGGTGACGGTGCTATGACAGGAAGGAACAGTGTGGCTGTGTGGAGAACCACTTGTGGAGAACAAAAGGGATCAAAATTGTGGGGTGCAGCAGCTACAGGTCTGCAGCTACAGGTCTGGCACCCACTCATCAGGCTCACCGCCGCCGTGTCCAGCTGGCGATGAGGAACCAGCAGTTGAAGATGCACAGCGACACCTGGGTGCCCATGACCGCCGCCGTCTCCCACCAGGCATACCCGTTCTGTGCAGGAGGTGCACCATCGTCAGCAGGCAGGCGCAGCTCAGCGACGCTCCCACCCCACTTGACTGCACCACCGCGAGCCGACAACTGGCACCACCACAAGCACACACACGACCAAACACCACTCATCGCCCACCTGCATCTCCCTCCAGAACAGCGGCAGCAGCAGGGGGAAGAGCGCGAGGCGCATGGGGTAGAAAGTGGCCTGCGGCCGGCCAGGAGGGTGGCAGGAGGCAGGAGAGAGCCAACGTGAGCATGCTGCGGACAGTAGCACAACCCTGGGCTGCTGCACGAAAACATCAAGGGGTGCAAGCTCCAGGCTGCCCCGCGCTTGGCAATGCGCACCCAATACAAGAAGTTGAAGGCTCGGTAGCAGCGCGGGAACTGGCGGCGGGCGATCAAGAAGAAGGTGTTCCACTCAATGAGGCCGTCCTGCAGAGGGAGGGGCGGGTGGTGTTCAGCAGGAGGGGCTGCCAGGGTGCATGCGCGAGGCAACGCTCCAGGGCTGCAGCAGGCCCGCACGTGTGCATGCCAGCTGCCCGACTGCTGTTGTTCCCCGCACCATGCATGTGTAGCGCCCCAGCTGCGGGTGCCTCAGCGGGATTTGCAGCAGCAGGAAGGTGACCGCGTGGTGCCAAATGATGACCCGCGGTCTGCAGCAGGGGCAGGGAGGGGGGGCGGAGAAAGGAGTGAGGCAGTGAAGGGCGGGAACGAGCAGGCCATGCGTGCAAAAAGGACGAATCTTGCTGCTGGTCTGCCTATGCCGGCGGACCTCGAGGGCACCGCCTTGGGCTCCAGGATGAGCCAGAACAGGTCGCCCACAATGTACACGATGAAGGCCTTGGTGACCTGCGCAGCAGGAAGGTGTAGGCGCTGAGGAGGAGAGCTGCTTAGCCATCAGCCCGCACAGCGGCAGGAACCGTGGCAATCCGGTGGCCACCAGCCCGCCAGCGCCTCACCAGCAGCGTGTCAATGTAGCCCAGCAGGCCAGCCAGCACCATGCAGCCGATGGTGGGGAGCGCCACCAGGTTTGCGCGGTCGTGCAGCACCACTTGCGGCGTCAGCTTGGCCGGCGGGGCGGGTGCGGCGCCAGCCGCCGGTTGACGCACTGCCACCATCTCTGCTGGCTGCTGCGCGGGATGTGGCTGCGGCGTGGGACTGACGCTTTGAAACCGGTAGGCCAGACAGGCGCGTTGCACGCGGCACGGACACACTTGTGTGTCGAGGGTTGCTGGGCAACAGAGCTTGCTGTCTGCACCAAGCGTTTGTAGGAGTCGATCAAGCCTTTCGGCAGGCGCCGTGCCCAGCAGACTTTGACTCCAGAAACCACAACACCAGCTGCGGCGCCTGTGAGAGGCTCGATGAATGGAGGCTTGATACCACGCAGCTTTACAAGCTGAGGCGAGCGAAGGCGGCGGGAAATGGCAGACAAGTCCGCCAGCTGGCGGCGGCTCCCCCACCCTCCCGCTCTCACAGTGAGCGTGCCGCAACCAACCAGCACTGCAACGGCTCCTGCTGCTGTCCACCCCTCAGAGCTTCTTCACTGGAGTCCTGCCAGGCAGCCAAGTCTGCTTGCTCTTGCAGCAGCCCCGCCGTCGCTGCCTTGGCTCTGCGCCGAGACCGTTGTGGGCGGCCTGCCAGCATGCCTTGCAGCTGCGCCCAGCACACGGCGGCAGACGAGGGCCTGTCAGGTCGCTGCAAGCGCAATGCCCGCCAGCGGGCAAAGAGTTGCTCTAGCCGGCCTGCTGCCGCACACAGCCCTCACCTTGCTCTCCACCGCAGCCAGCACCTCCGATAATCCTTCGTTCTGCAGCACGCTGGTGGCCACGGCAGTGGGGCGGTAGCCAGCTGCAGCCGCATCCGACGCCAGCAATGCCTCCACGGCCGGCGGCAGCTGGCAGGCCGCAGGCGCCGCCGCACCGCCGTTGTCCGGCAAAGCTGCTTCAGCTGCCCCGACTCCGCCGCTGCTGCCGCTGCTTCCTAGCGTGATCGGTGGCGGGCTGCCGATTGCTGCCGCCGGCGCTTCTCCTGGTTCCCACCCCACCTGCCGCTCCCCCAGCTGCTGCTCCCCGGCCACCGGCCCGGCCGCCAGCTGCCCAGGCAGCTGGTCCATCTTATTCCACACCTCTATCACGCCCTCCCGCAGCCGCGCCTCGGGCACGCCCAGCCCGCGCAGCACGCCCAGCACCGCCGCCCGCTGCTGCAGCACCTGAGGGCTGGAGGCATCCAGAACGTGCAGCAGCAGATCCGCCTCTGTCACCTCCTCCAGCGTGGCCTGCGCTCGCAGCATGGGCGTGCCTCACCAGGTGGGTGTGCATGCGTGCGTGTGGTTCAGGTGGGGTGGAAGTGGTCGGAGGGGGCGCGCGGTGCAGCGGCGTGCTGGGTGGCCACCCAGCGCACGCGACCACGGCTGCCGCACCGGCTGGCCCCCTGCCACCCACCTGCCCACCATTCACAACCCCACACGCATGGGCAGCGCACCACACCACACCACACCAGCACCAGCACCACACCTGGAACGCCTCTATCAGCTGTGTGGGCAGGTCGCTGATGAAGCCCACGGTGTCTGACAGCACCACGTCCCGCCCCGACCCCGGCAGCATCACGCGCCTGCAGCCAGCCGGGGCACGCGAGCGTGGGACGGCGCGCCCTGTGCCAGCCAGCTGCGTGCCGCAGCGCCTGCGGCACCAGCCCATCGCCAGCCTGGCGCCTCGTGCAGGTGCAACCGCCGGCGCCTGCCTCACCTCAGCGTAGGGTCCAGCGTGGCAAACAGCTTATCTTCCACCCCCGCCTCCGCCTCCCCGCACTTGCTCAGCGCGCTCAGCAGGCTGCTCTTCCCCGCGTTGGTGTACCCAACGATGGCCACCTGCGGCTTGCCGCTGCGCCTGCGCGCCGCGCGCTGCACCCCCCGCGTCTTGCGCACCTCCTCCAGCTTCCGTAGCAGCTGCTTGCGGCGGTCGGCCACGCGGCGCCGCTGCAGCTGCAGCTCGCTCTCGCCCTGGCCGCCCGCGCCGCCCAGGCCGCCCGCGCCGCTGCCGCTGCGCCCGCGCTCGCGGGCAGACACGATCTCAGACGCCTCGCCCGCCAGCCCAAACGCGGCGCGCTTGCCGGTGGCGGCATCCACCACACGCACCAGCCGGCTGGCCTTGTACTCCAGAGAAGCAAGCTCCACCTGCAGGCGAGCCTGCAGGCGGGAAAGAGGGCGAGCGGCAGGGAGGCAGGGGGTGGGACGGGAGGCGTGTGTCGTGCTGGTATCGCCGCCAGCCTAACCCCCACTGGCCAGCGCCTGTATCCCCATCCCAAGTGGGCGCGCGCTTGCCCAGAGCTGCCAGCCGGCTACCTCTGCGGTGCGCGCCCTCTGGGAGAAGATCTCTATGATGAGCGCCACACGGTCCAGCACGGGGCGCTGCAGGGCGCGCTCCAGGTTGCGCTGCTGCACGCCGCTGAGGACGTGATTGACGAACACTCTGGAGGGCAGGAAGGGAGGAGAGGACGGGGCAGTTCATTCATTCATGGCTGCTGCACATCATAAAGTGCCGGCTGGGTGGCGTGCGGGTCAGTGGGAAACACACGGCGGCGCCTGCTGGCCAGCCAGCCACAACACATCCTGGGGGCGGGGTGGGCAGGGGCGCTGCCTGACGCACCTGTGGGGCTGGGTGGCGGCCACGCGCGCCTGCACCGCCTCCACCTGGCCGCGTCCAAAGAAGGTGGAGGGCGAGGGGCGCAGCCGGCTGGCAGAGCCCACTTGCACATACTCTGGCGCCGTGCCTGCTGGCGGCGGAGAGAGGCAAGGCGGCACTGGGTGGCGGCGGTGGCGGCATCGGCGGCGGTAGCATCTTTACTAAAACATGATTTCGGTGCAAACCCTACCTTCCAGGGACTCCGCGAGCTTGCAAGCCTCCAGCAGGCTGTAATTCGACAGGCTGGCGGGGTGCAAGACGAGCAGGCTCTGACGCTGATGCTGATGGGATGCGGTGGCTGTGCTGAATCCAAGGCAATGCCGCAGCAGCCCGACAGTGCCGCTTGTTGCGCGTTGCGTTGCGGGCTGCCTTGGAATCAGGCCCAACAGCAAGCGCTGCATCATGAAATTTAGAGGGTGGTGTCGATGGGAAGCGCACAGAGGCAGAATGCATCAGTTCTCTTGCCGCCACCAGCGGGCGCCAGCGGGGCAACGAGTGTAGATGGTTCCAGGCCTTGGAACAACCAGAGTTCGTCAAAGACGCCATGGCGCAGAGGCACGGCTACGCAAGCGCCTCTGGCGAGCACACCCACACCAATGTGCAGCGCGAGGGAGGCAGGGTGACTGCCACCTCCTACGCCCGCTCCACTGGCGGCGGTCCTCAGCAGCATCAGGCCTCTGTGCTGCACAGCACCACAGGTGGGTGCGGCAGTGGGCGGGGGCGGCAGTCGCCGGAAGCCGCCGCACCCGCCAACCCGCCCGCCGCCGCCCAACTCCCGCAGACCCTGAGAGCATGACCACCCATGAACTGAAGGTCTTCTTGCTGGTGAGCGGCAAGAGCAGGCCGAAAGGGGCGGAACTGTGCACGGCAGTCGCTCGGGCAGCTCGCCGCAAAACTCTTTCCGTGGCATGCTTTGCAGGCGCGCGGCGCGGACATCACCGGCGCCATCGAGCGCACCGACCTGCTGGAGATTGCCAGGAACATGCAGGGCAGTGGCGGCACTGGCGGGGCGTCTGGCGGTGCCAGTGGCGGTGCCAGTGGTGGTGCCAGCGGGGCTGGCGGCGAGCCGGCGGCGGGCGCTGCCCCTTGAGGGCAGAGGCGGGTGTTAGTAGTGTAACGTCCGGCGCTATGTAACCGATCATTCATTTTCCATACACTTCAGACGTGGCTTACGACCGCAAGAAGTATGAAGCCGCCAGCGCGCCAAACAGGTGCCACGGCAGTGCCGGCTCCTGCTCCGCCACCACTTCAAAGCGGAACCCCCGTACAGCCAGTGACATATATAATGAGGACAGAGGCAGCCAGGTTTGAGCCCAGCCAGCCAGCCACACACACAATGAATGAAGGAGCTGTAAGTTGCAGCAGGTTGAGTACCTCTCAAAGTTGACACCACCCAGAGCACACAGCCCAGGCTCTCAAGGCGTGCACACAGCAGAGTGCTACAGAGGCATGATCAGCGCCAGCCCGACCGGCCAGAAGGGCAAAATTTGGCTAAGGTGCCCAACTCTCACCCCCCTCTGTAGCCCACCACCCCAGCTCGTGCCTGCCCCTGGGCACCCACACAAGCTTGACACACGCCCTTGAAGTGCACAACAGGGGGGCCAGTCAAAGCATTCAGCTGGGCTGGTGGCGGCGAGACTGGCGGCGGCACCCCGGCGGGAGGCGGCGGCACCCGTTTTTCGGGACTGCCGCTGCCGCCGCCCACCAGCGCCCATTACACCCCACCACTCCCCTGACTCAACGCAGCATTGGCACACCCCAAACGTGCGAGGGTTGAATGATCAAGTCTCTCGGTGCCTGCCCTGGCCAGCCGCTGACCCAACCAGACCAATCACACACACACACACGACGCTCACGCCGCCAGCGAGGGGGCGAAGCCCCCCCGTTTGGGAAGGCTCCGGGGCTCCCACGCTGGCACCTTTCTTTGCTTGGCACAGACCAAACTCACAAGCTGAAGGGCCCTCAGCTAGGAATAACGGCACACAAAAGTTGTAGGGTGCCTCTCAGTGGGCAGGGGTGCTCATTTTCCTCAAAACTTTTGCAGGGGTGAGGGCAGGTGTTGCATTTCACAGCCCCGGCTGTATTCAAGGGTTGCTGGTGTGCCACCCCGTCTTCACTACCCCTGTGCTGATTGAACATGTGGGTAAACCTGGTGTCAGTCACTTGCTGCTATGCTTCCGCCTTACCCGCCGGCAGCGTGCCGCCGCCACTCCCGCCAAGTGCCCGACCATCTCCCCATTGCATCGCATGCGCCGCTGCGGCTACCTCGCCTTCGTTTGTGAGCCAGCTCTCCCCTGCCTGTAAAATAGAGTCAATGAGCTCTTGGACAGAGCCATCAACAGCTACTCTGCTGCCCCACCATCTGTACTGCATGGCGTACCGCAACGGCCAGCAGCGACCGTGGCCGACGCACCGGGGCAGCATGCCGCCCCCGCCTGCTGTTGCTGCTCAGATGGCACACCTGGCTGCCTAGCTGTGGTGGGCCAGCACACCTGGGGGAATGCAGTGCTGGAGTACCGGCCCGAGCGGCCGGCCCTGGCAGGACCAGCAGGGCCCAACAATGTGTCGGCATTTGCAGTGCCAGGCAGCAGCACAGCACCGGGCACGCCCTGCTGTTCCTTGTTGCCAGCACAGCAGGCTGGCGACTGTGGCTCCCATCCTTGTACAGGGTGCATTGTGGTAACCCAGCACACACATGAGCACAGCAACATGGCAGCCCTGATCCCTGGGCAGAAGATGGCATGCAACTGAATGCATGTGAAACTGGAAAGTGGGCCTGCCGACGCAGCGGCGTTGGCGGCGGCAGCGCAGCGCATGCAGGCAGGCAGGAGCAGATTGCAACAGGTGTGCCAGCTGGGCATGTTGTTGTCTTGCAAGCACAGGGGAAACATGGTTACAAACTGAACCACAGCTGGAGCTAGCAGCTGGAAAAAGAAATGCAACAGCCACACCCCCCTGCCTCACCCAGTGACATATATAATGAGGACAGAGGCAGCCAGGTTTGAGCCCAGCCAGCCAGCCACACACACAATGAATGAAGGAGCTGTAAGTTGCAGCAGGTTGAGTACCTCATGCAACAGCCACACCCCCCTGCCTCACCCAGTGACATATATAATGAGGACAGAGGCAGCCAGGTTTGAGCCCAGCCAGCCAGCCACACACACAATGAATGAAGGAGCTGTAAGTTGCAGCAGGTTGAGTACCTCTCAAAGTTGACACCACCCAGAGCACACAGCCCAGGCTCTCAAGGCGTGCACACAGCAGAGTGCTACAGAGGCATGATCAGCGCCAGCCCGACCGGCCAGATGGGCAAAATTTGGCTAAGGTGCCCAACTCTCACCCCCCTCTGTAGCCCACCACCCCAGCTCGTGCCTGCCCCTGGGCACCCACACAAGCTTGACACACGCCCTTGAAGTGCACAACAGGGGGGCCAGTCAAAGCATTCAGCTGGGCTGGTGGCGGCGAGACTGGCGGCGGCACCCCGGCGGGAGGCGGCGGCACCCGTTTTTCGGGACTGCCGCTGCCGCCGCCCACCAGCGCCCATTACACCCCACCACTCCCCTGACTCAACGCAGCATTGGCACACCCCAAACGTGCGAGGGTTGAATGATCAAGTCTCTCGGTGCCTGCCCTGGCCAGCCGCTGACCCAACCAGACCAATCACACACACACACACGACGCTCACGCCGCCAGCGAGGGGGCGAAGCCCCCCCGTTTGGGAAGGCTCCGGGGCTCCCACGCTGGCACCTTTCTTTTGCTTGGCACAGACCAAACTCACAAGCTGAAGGGCCCTCAGCTAGGAATAACGGCACACAAAAGTTGTAGGGTGCCTCTCAGTGGGCAGGGGTGCTCATTTTCCTCAAAACTTTTGCAGGGGGTGGTAGCTCAGCTCCAGCGCCTGATCAAAAACGAAAGGCGTGTGTCATGCGCTACGGCCAGGCGAATCAGCATCAGAGAAGGTTGTACTGTTGCAAGCCGGCCCTGCCAGTGTGCGGTACCCATGCGCGCCGCCCAGGGGAGCTGCTGAGAAGGTCTCACCTTCAAAGATCTCCTTTCGTTGTTTTACATTCCCGACTAGTCACAGGCAGTTTGGGTCCTCAATGGGCTGCGCCGCCTCCCAGCCCGCGCCGCAAGAACCGAGTGCAGCCTCCAGCGGCGAGGAGGGGACTGAGGCTCACGTGCAGCGCCTCAGAGCCGCAGTGGATGCGGGGGACGCCAAGGCGCTCAAGTCGGCACTGCGGCGCTGCGGCTTGGCAAGGGCGGCGGCGGCCTTGTGCGCCCGCGACGCCGACGGCTGCACGCTCGTCACATGGTGCGCCATCGCCGGCGAGGCAGGCTGCTTGCGCCTGCTGCTGGAGGATGAGGCGGACCCCAATGCAGCGGACAACGGCGGCGAGACGGCGCTTCATTGGGCAGCCTCTTGCGGGCACGAGGATTGTGTGGCGGTGCTTGCCGAGGCAGCCACCAACTTGGAGGCCAGAGACCAGCGGGGATCCACGCCTCTGATGGACGCCACGCGGCTCAGCAAGGAGGGGTGCCTGTGCGCGCTGCTGAGGGCCGGAGCCAGCACCGACACGAGGGACAAGGATGGGAAGCAGGCGCTGCACTGGGCGGCCAACGCGGCGGCGGGCATCCCGGGAGCAGAGGCCTGCCTGCGGGCGCTGCTGCGCGCCGAGGCCGACCCGTGCGCCACCTGCGACTCAAAGTGGACCCCGTTGCACGTGGCAGGTGTGGCGGGGCGCAGCGGCGGCAGGCAGGCGCAGCAGCTCGCCTGACGCCGTTCACTGCCCTGCCCTTGCGGCATGTGCTGTGCACCCAGCCTCGCATGATCCTTGGCTCAACTCCCTGATGCCCTCCCGCCCCACTGCTGTGCCTGCCTCCCTGCCCTCTGCAGCGATGTTTGGCAACCTGGCAAGCATCCAGCTCCTGGCAGACGCCGGCGCTTCGGCAACCGCACGCACCGACGCTGGGCAGACGGCGGTGGAGGTGGCGGCGGCGGCGGGGAACCGCGAGGCCATGCAGCTGCTGCTGCGCCTGGCGCGGGAGGAGGTCCGCGGCAAGGCGCGGCGCAGCGCACGCAGCAAGCAGGCGGCGCCAGGGCCAGCCAAGGCGTCGGCAGCGGCGTCGGCGGCAGGGGAGCTCATAGCCACTCAGCTTGGCTCAGCGGTCTCCGTCAAGGTGCAGCAGGTCACTGCAGTCACCAACCGCAAGCAGGTGGAGCTTGAGGATTTTCAGCAGCTCTGGAAGGCAGCATCAGCCGCTGCGCAACCGCATGGCAGCAAGGGCACAGCATACAGCCGGCCAGGCAAAGATGGTTTACCGTCGGCGCCGCCGGCAACTGACAGCCTGCTGGAAGCGCTTGGAGCTTCCAGGGCTGCTGGCAGCAGCATGGCAGCAGCGGGCGATGCTGCTGGTGACGGCCGCTCTTTTGCAGTGCCAGCGGTGCCGCTTGGCGGTAGCCAAGAGCAGCAGAGGTCAGCGGCAGCAGGCGCAGCTGGGCAGCAGGCAGCGGCACCGGCCGGTGGTGGCAGCGCCATGCAGGCAGCAGCAGCGCTGGAGTGCCGGGTCTGCCTTGAGCAGGCTGAAACACTGCTGGCGCTGTTCCCCTGCGGCCACAGAGCCACCTGCGCCGCTTGCACCCACACAATGCTGGCTGCGCAGCCAAGGCTGTGCCCCATCTGTCGGCAACAGGTGCGACCTTGCTAACCAGGCGTCTGTGTAGTGCCCGCTGGAGAGTGCTGGCTGGACGGTGCTTTCCCTGCTCACAATCTGATTTCTTCTGCTGCCGCGTGCAGGTCACCGGCAGCGCCCGCATTTTCGACGCCTGAGCAGGGGTGCGGCTTCTACACGCTTAATTAAACAAGAATTGCAAAGCAACATCAGTTTAGTATCAGTTCCAAACTCGGATGTCGGATGTCACAATTTGATTGGGGGCTCACAACACTCGCACGCTTCTGGAAAAAATTAATAGTAACGCTCACGATGACATTCAAGGGCAATAGCACACAAAGAAATGCATAAGACATACTGCATACTCAAAATTGAAGCTTTGATGCACACACTCTCAAGAATATGGGCTGAACATAATGCAAATGGAAACAAAATGGGCTGACAACACACGGTATTGATGAATGCCTGAAAGAGCGGGCGGACTCGAGCAGCATGCCTGCTTCAAGCAGGCAAGTTGGCACCCAGCTGAAAGAAAAGAACACACGAAAGAAGGGAATGAAAGGGCTCGTGTCGACCCTGGCTGTATTGCGATGATATCCAGTAAGTGGCAGATAGAGCTGGTATCGCGAGAGGACAGTGGATGGGCTGTAGCAGCGGCAGTCGCCAAGGGGAGTAAGCTGTATGCGCTCAGCGCAGTGATCCGTGTTGCCTCAGCTCTGGAACCGCATGTCTCTGAGATGTGCGGCGGCGCCCAGGAAGACACTTGCATCTGCAACAGCGGATGGTGGCAAGCGGATGGAAGCTGGTTGACGCCCGATGCAGGCGCCCAAGCTGCCACCCCGGCGGGTTGTTTGCCTCACCCTGGTGCGCGTGCTGGAAGGCAAGGTGCTGGCTGGGGCTGCCGATGGGCTTGCACGGCGAGCCGCTGGTGTTGCGCACGGTACGGCGGCGGCCTGGAGCACCAAAGTCGAGGCAGCGCAGCCTGCAGCGCGGAGGTATGGGATGATGTGAGTCTATGCAGGGGTGCAATGATGATGGCCGAATGGTGGGCATGGCACGGTCTGGCCCATCACTCAGCCTGGCAGAAATTATGGCCGGTGTGCAGCGGCGGCGGGCGGCTGGCAGGGCGGCGGGCGTCGCGGCGAAGAGGCACATGCCACCGGCAAGGCGCGTTGCCCCATTCTGGCCCAATTGGCGATCCATGGCATGCACTCATACCTGTCGTGCCATTCCTGGGCGTCGGGCGAGTAGAACCGGGGGTGGGGGCTTGTGGGCAGCGTAAAGCTGCTGTCTTCCCGCGGCTTGTGGTGCTGTTGCGAGGCTGCCGCGGTCGTGGAGAACAGCGCGGCGGCCACAACGCGCTGGGCAGCGCAGGCGCTCACAAGGGCCAGCTGAGGGAGGCCGGGGGTGCACAGTGTCTTCTGGAGCATGATGGAAGGTCGAGATCGGACTGAAGGATGTAGGTTGGACAGAGAATGAATGGAGAATGGTGGACGCCGCCCCTTCCGACATGGATCTCGCGAGGGGTCCCTCCGGTCAAGCGCGGCCCTTACGAGACCATTGGACTAACGATCTTCCAATGCAGACCGCTGCACACGCAAATGGGCCTGCATGGACACGGCAAGGGCTCCAGCTGCAGGAGCCTACAGGCGGCGTGCTAGGCACCGGCGCCGCTGTGGCACAGCGGCGGCAGCAAAGCTGCTGCCCTCAAACAGATGCAAGTTTCTACATGGAAGGGTGCACATGCTATCAAGGGGGTGCATGCAGGAGAAGCTGGCGGCTAGGAGGACACAGCTGCTTGGAATAAAATGGCGCGGTGCGGGCAACAAGGTACAGGGGGCCAACGAGGCGGTGGCGGCAAGCAAATGAACAGGAAGTAGGGCTGGCACATCCAAGCACAAAAAACACATAAAATGGCAGCGAGAGCACAGCATCGCAGCCAATTTCAGGCGGGGCTGGCTGCTGGCACGCGAGGCAGGGTTTGGTTCATTCATGCAATCGTGGTGGTACACAGCGCCGGCCGGCTCAGGCGGCGGCAAACGCGCCCCCGCGTCGCGCCCCCTCGCCCGGGCTGCCGCCACCGCCGGCCGTGGCCCGCGGAACGTCCCTGGGCTGGGATCGCCAGCCTGCCGGCTTGGTCAGGGTGAACTCATCCAGGAGGGAGCCATCGTAGGAGGCCAGCACGCGGTGGCTCATGTGGGTGGCGTTTGCCTCCACCACCACGTACCCGTGCTGCAGCCGCACCGTGTCAAAGATGCGGGGGCGGAAGAAGTGGATGTTGGGGGTCAGCCCGGCGCCCGCGTGCCCTGCAGCCAGGCAGGCAGGCGGGAAGGCGAGGCGGAGGAGGGAGAGGGTGGGCAGGCAGCGGGGGGACAGCAGGGGCATGGAGTGATGCTGGCTGCCGAGGCGAGAAGGGGCACTGGAGATGCCGGGCAGCAGCGCAACTGGCTCAACAAAGCGGCAGCAGCACCACCACCAGGACCACAGGCCCAGCATCAACAGCTGCAGCACTGGGCTCACCAATCACCAGGTGCAGCGGCGCCCTGGCGGTGCCGTCTGCGTTCGCGCCCAGGCAGCGGCCGCGGTAGACGGCGCAGGTGCGCTGGTAGGAGTGGTGGTGGCCCGTCCAGGTGGCGTCCACCTGCGCGGCAGGGCGGGCAGCAGGCCAGGTGGCTGCGGCAGCTGGCCGCGAGGACCGCCAGTTGCAAGGACCACCGGGGGCCGCTGCAGCGCAGCCCGGGCAGCGAGGCACGACCCACGGAGCAGCTGGCTGGGGCTGGCTGCCCGACGCCACTGTTGGCCCGCAAGCGCCTGCCTGCCTGCCCAGAACAGCAGTACCACCCCCCGCCACACACACCACAACAACACACACCTGGTAGCGGTACAGCAGGTCCTCCAGGCTGTCCCGCAGCTTCTTGGCCACGTACTGGTCGCCGTCAGGCATCAGCCCGTAGAAGGTGGAGTCGATGTAGATGGGGCGGTGGCCTCCCACCACCACCCAGGGAGTCACGCTGCGATCCACGGCAGCCAGGTCGCGCTCGATGAAGCGGTGCTGCTCGCTGCCAGGCTCAAACAGGTGCTCTGCGGGCAGGACGGCAGGCGGACAGGCAGGGCCGGCGGACCCGGCGGGGGAGGTGAGCGGGCAGGCGGGTCAGGGAGCCAGGTAAACTCGGCAGGTGAGCAACGGCATGCGGGAGTCCCGGCCCTGCACGCCACCCGCTGCCTCCTGCGGCGCACTGCGCGGCGCTGCGCTGGCAGGAACAGCAGGCAGGAACGGGGCCCACCCGTGCTGAACTGGCAGAAGTGGATGGGCCCAAAGTCGAAGCTGTACCAGGGCTTGTCCTCTGCAGGGGTGGGCATGCGGGTGCGGCGGTAGTAGGGCACCCCGCACTCGCCGCCGCTGTCGTACTGCGCGGGGAAGCGGTCGCCGGAGTGGGGCCAGTCGCGCTGCGCAGAAGGGCAGCACAGGGGGCAAGGGAGGGCGGTCGACGCGGGGCCCACAGGGGGCACCACACAAGGGGCATGGAGACCTCGGCTGTGTCAACCGCCAAGGCAGTGGGAGGAACGAGACGCAGGGGAATGCAGCTGCAGTGGCGGGGCAGGCCATCAGCAGGCAACACAAGCAGGCGACACCAAAAAAGGTCTACCACCACAGACCCCACCTCATGATTGCCCACAGTGGTCATGTACGGCACCCTCCTGACCGTAGGCCCCAGCTGGTCAAAGTAGGTGTCCCACTGGCTGCCAAACCCCCGCGCATCTGCGGGCAAAACAGCACCCAGCAGACGCAGAGTCAGATGGTCGGAGAGCCGCCCGTCAGTGCGGCGCTACCTGCGGGCGGGCCCGGCCTGTATGCGCAGGCAGACGGCTCATGGTGTACAAAAAGCCTGGACCTATGCTCTCTTGGAACCCAGCTGCTGCTGATTCTTGCAATCAAGCTGCTGACTCACAGGAGATGTCGCCGTTGTGCACCAGCAGCTGCGCGCCGGCCTGCACCTCCGCCGCCAGTGCCGCCGTGGTGGCCAGGCTGGGCAGCATCTCGCTGGATTCCATCGACCCATCCACCTCCGCCTGCCCCAGGTCTGCGACGGCCAGCAGCCTGACCGAGGCGCCGGGGCCAGTGGCAGGCGGCGAAACAAACGACTCCTCGCCGCTCCACCCCAGCTCCTGCGGTGGGGAGGTGGCAGCGGGGCGCAAGACGGCGTTTTGGGGCAGGGGGCTGTTGCTGGGGCAGGCGGAGAGGCAGGCGGCATGGGCTGTGTCAGAAGGCTTGGGCAGGTTTGTCCCTCAAGCGGCGCTCTCTTGCCCCTCCAACCACCCGCTCTCCTGCACCACTCGCACCCACCTCATCCCCGTACTGGTAAAAGTAGGTTGTGCTGGGCTGCAGGCCCGCCATCACCGCGCCGTGCAGCCAGCCAGGGTCTACCCAGCCGCTGGCATTGGCCGGCGCGCCGCACATGTCGGCACGGGTGTAGGTGAGGCTGTCCCCAGCCGCGCTCCACTCGTGCGCGCCGCTGCGTGTGCCCCAGCGCACCGCGGGGCTGCCCGCATCCCGCGTCACCCACTGCACCTTCACCTCGCTGCGATGGACACGGATGGCATCGGCAGGCAGGAAGGGAGTTGGCAGGGAGGCAGCGGGAGGCAGTCACAGGCAGCCCAATCTCAAGATTGGAGGCAGCAGCCGCACACAGGCGTTGGCAATGCAGCGTGGCCATGGCCGTCGCGCAGGCGCACCGACTCACCCAGGCTTGCCGGTCAGCGACAGGTGGCCCTGCATGGGCTGGTTGGGCTCGGCCACAGTCACCACCCCGCTCCAGGCCACCACCACAGGGAACTGCAGCCCGCTGCGCACCAGCGCAAACCGCATGTCCTGCCGCATGTTGAGCAGGCGGAAGCTGCGCGGCGGGTTGGGGAGGGGCAAAAGCAGGGCTCAGGGAGGGCTGGAGGCGTACCACAACAACTTGAGCGGCAGGCAGGGTGGGAGCTGAGCTGAGCAAGGCGTTGCGCTGTGGGGCAGGAGCCGCCGCTGCAGGGACAGGAGCAGGAGCAAGCCAGCAGGAGACGAGGCGCCACCACCACGAGCCAGGGGGGGAAGCCAGCAGCAGCGGCGCCACCGGCGCCTGCCCGGCGTGCTCACGTGACGCTTCCAGTGCCCAGGATCAGGTGTGAGGGCGAGCGCGCCGCCCAGTGGTACTTGATGGGGGCTGTGATGAGAGGGTCGCCGGCGGCGGGGAAGAGGGCAATGTAATCGTCGTAGCTGCCTGCAGATAGAGGCGGGGAGGCAGAGTGTTTGGGTGCAGGATGGGTGCAGGTTGCGGCAAAGTCGCGAGGAGGAACTGTGGCGGCGGTTCCAACAGGCGGCAGCAGCGGCACCGGGCGGCTCCGTCTCGGTGGGCCCCACCTGTGCCCAGGCCGCTCCAGGTGACCTCCACCCACTGGTGCTGGCCCTCCAGCACGGTGGCGTTGCAGCGGATGCTGGCGCCGCCGTTCTCCGCCAGGGCCACCCGCACGTTGTGGGTTGCCCAGAGCTCGAGCGGGTTGTGGGCCGTCAGGCGGCGGTGGTGCTGGGCAATCCTCAGGGTGAGCAGCAGCAGGGCGCAGAGCGACAAACTCTTGGTGAACTCGCCCATAGCGGCGGGCGGCGGCAGGAGAGGCGGCGGTGCGTGCGCAGTGCAGGGGCGAGGGCGGAGCCGGGGGAGCTGCTGAGACTGCCTAGTGGTGGTGTGGCTGCCGTATGGGCGCGAGCCAGGCCAGCAGAGGTCAGGGAGGCCGATCAGTCGGCCAACTCAACAGGGCACTCGCCGAGGCCCGGCAGCAGACCACCAAATCCGGTGGCCACCACTGCCGGAGCGCAATGAGCCGGCCTGCGCCGGCCAGGGGGTTGCTTTCGTAGCCGGCGAGTCCCCGGCGCACGCCCAGCAGGAGGTAAGGCCCGGTCCCAAACCACACTCATTCCCCCATCTGAACGTCATATCAAACGCGGAGAGTCTTGGAGGCGTCACTTTGTGGTCAGTGGACGCCATGCAGGCCCTCCACAGCTTCATGGGCACTGCTGCCCCGTTCAGGACGGCCCGCAGCAGCACGGCCCCCGTGGCACGGCCCTCCCTGATGGTGAGTGCCGCCACAGTGGCTGCACCAGTGGCGCTGCCCGTGAAGAAGCTGGATGGGAGCGATGTTGGTTCCAGCGCCTCCATCTCGCTGCGTGTGGCGGATGAGGACACAGCCAACGGCCTGGTGCACCGGTACCTGGTGATGGTGCGGCAGAATGCGCGGCAGGTGCGTGTCTGGGGGCGGCCTTGCATGGCACCGAGTTGCTGCTGTTAGCTCGGTTGCGGCGTGCAGCCCAGCCTCACACGCGGGGAGAGTGCCCCAGGTTGGTTGCGCGTGGCACATTGTGGCGGGGGAGCAGCGCCGGGCGCCGCCAGCGCAGCCGCCCACGTTGTTGCTGCTTCTACCGAACGACTCGCTGCAGGGCAATGCGAGCACCCTGACCCGCTCAGAGGTGCGCGGCGGCGGCAGGAAGCCCTACAAGCAGAAAGGCTCGGGCAATGCGCGGCGCGGCTCCCGCCGTTCGCCGCTCATGCCCGGTGGCGGCATCTCCTTCGGCCCCAAGGTGTGCAAGGGGAGGAGGCAGGGGGTACCCGTGCAGCGCCACACTACTGCAATGCATGCTTCCCTCGGCCGCTGCCCTCTGCTGGAGCCCGGCTCATTCCATCTGTTCAACCTCCCCCCGCTCCCTTCCACACTCGTTGCCTCGGTCCCGTCAACGACCAGTGCAACCCATGTCCCCGCCCCCGCCCCTCCCCGCAGCCCCGCGACTGGTCCATCAGCATGAACAAGAAGGAGCGCAAGCTGGCTTGCGCCACCGCGCTGCAGTCGGCCGCCGCCGACATGCTGGTGTGCGACGACTTTGGGGCGCTGGAGGCAGTCAGCACCAAGGGCCTGGTGGCCAGCCTGGCGGCCATGGGCGTGCAGGAGGGCGAGAAGGTGCTGCTGGTGGTGAACGAGGCCAACGAGAAGCTGTACCTCAGCGGCCGCAACCTGCCCACCCTGGCCATCAACACGGCCAACGCGGTGCAGGTGCGGGCAGGGGCGGTTGGGGTAGCGGTGTGGGAGGGCAGCATGGGCAGCATGGGCAGCGGTGCATGCGGCTGGTCAGGCACGCACCGTGTGCCTGCGGTGCTGCTGGTGCTGGAGGCTGCAGGCGTGCTGTTGGTGCGGCGCTTGAGCCCTGGCTGCAGCCATTGTTGGCCCTGCTTACCCTGCTGCCACCACGCCACACACACGCCCCATTCCCGCACACCGCAGGTCTACGATGTGCTGAATGCCGACCGCATTGTGGTGGAGCAGTCTGCCCTGGCGTACCTGAACGAGTGGTTTGGCGAGAGCCAGGCATAGGGCGGCAGCAGCGCCACCATCAATTGCCTGCCTTCGGCAGCACCCGTCGGGGCCCCGATTAGGCGCCGCCGGCACGAGGCTCCGCCGCCGGCGCCCAAATTCCCTGCCGCTTTTTCTCCCCGCAGCAACCACCCGCGGTTTTCCCGCTTAGAATCACTGTAACACATGCTCAGCTCGCTGGTGGGCTGCCTGGGGTTAAGGACACCTTGCACGGGGGCTGCTGGGAACTTGCCGGATAGGTAAGCGCAGTCAGGGCTGCGCATTGTTAACAGTGGGGCAGAAGAGTAGGAACATGTCACCAAATCATTCAGCAGGTCAGAGAATAGGGAAGAATAAGCTTGCAACAGCCACAAAGCAGTTTGGCAGGCAGGTGCCCAGCTGGCGGCTGGACTGGTGTCTCAGTAGTAGTGGCGCTGCGGCTGCGGCGGCGGCTGCTGCTGCTGCTGCTAGTGGCCGGAGGAGAGGCGGCGCAGGCGGTCAATGGGTGAGTTCAGCACCTTGCCCGCCAGGTTGGCCAGGCCGCCACGCAGGCTGCCCTCCCGTAGCAGCGGGGCATGCGCCACACCGCCCTGGTGCTGCTGCTGTGCCGCTGCCTGCTGGTACTGCGCCTGCTGCTGCTGTGGCTGCTGGTGCAGCGCGTGACAGCGGTCCCACGCCGTACTGCTGCTGCTGCTGCGCCGCTGCGCACTGCTGCGCGTACTGCGCCGCGCCCGCCAGCGGCCCATCGCTGCCCCCCATCTCCCGAGGTGTGCTGCGGGCTGACCCTGGCAGGCTGTCCGCCAGAGGGTACACAGCAGCCTTGATGAGGTCGTCCCGCCCGCCGGTGCTGGCTCGGGACAGGCCGCCGGGGCCGCCGGGCCCCGAGGCGGGCGGGTAGGCGGTGCTCTGGCGGGCCGAGGGCGCCGCCGAGTAGCCAGACACCTTCTGCTGGTACTGCTGGATGGTGCGCAGGTCCTGCAGGGCAGGCAGGCAGGCAGGTGGGCAGGTGAGAGGAATGGGCAGGCTGGCAGGCATGAGAGGGGGGAGAGGGATGGGCAGGCGCCACCTGGAGGCGTTGTGCACACCGCTGGCCCGGGCAATCGTGTCGTGCCGTGTCGCCTGCTGCCCTCCCACCACCTACACTGCCAGCTGCGCTGGCCACCGCCCCATCAGCTTCCCCGCTCGGCTCCTGCCCAGGGCACCCCACACCCCATGCTCACCCGCGCGGGCAGCAGGAAGGCTGCGATGATGGACTCCACCGCATCCTGCAGCACATCCAGGTTGTCCCCCACCAGTGTCTGCCCCGAGAAGGCCAGGTTGGCGCGGTGCCGCTGCTCCAGGTCGGCGTGCTGCTGGGCCAGCGTCCCCAGCATGGCCTTGGCGTTGGTCAGGGCCTGGAGGAGAGGCAGGGGGAGGCGTGCGTGAGTGTGTGGTGTGGTGGAGCCGTCAACCAGCCAGCCACCTGTCACGAGCTGCCATGCCACCCCCCGGACACACGCCTGCAAGCGCTCGCATGCGCACCTGGTAGCCCTCGGTCTGCTGCTGGCGCATGCGGTGCATGCGGTGCTCGCGCCAGTGGCGCTGGATGACCTTGGCGGCGTCAGAGCTGCGCTTGTTCTCGAAGAAGGACTTGGCTAGTGCCATGCGGGACCGCTCGTAGCCCTCCACCTGCACTGGAGGGTAGGTGGGGAGTGGGTAGGTGTTTGGCAGGGACCGATGCGGCTGGGGCCAGGCATGTACTGCATCTGAGAGAGAAGGGCCGTCATGACCTTGACAAACCAACCAACGAAGCAGCAGGTCCCTCGCCAGTGTACACACACACACACACACACACAGAACACCCTACACACCTGCGTGTGAAGCTCGGCCACCACATCGCGCTCCTCGCCCAGGGCGGCCTCCAGCCCGCGCCGCTGCCGCCCCGCCTCCAGCAGCTCGCCCTGCAGCGCCGCCAGCCGGCGCGCCAGCTCAGCCTTGCCCGCCTCCAGCCTGGCAACCAGCTCGCCCAGCTGAGCCACGCGCTCGTCCCGGCTCTGCACCTTCGCCCGCAACTCGGCTATGGTGCCATCCCGCGTCGCCACTGTGGCCTGCACCGCCGCCACCTGGCGCTGCCCCGCCTGCTCGGCTGCCTGCAGCTTGGAGGCCCACTCCTCCTGCGGCAAAAGGGGAAAGCAAGCAGATTGGCGGGGCAGAGCATGCCAAATGCGGCCATGCCACCTCCCTATTGGCGCAGATCTTTGGGGTCCCCAACACATCTGCATCCAGCCACTCCCCCACAGAGCAGAGCAGGCACCCAGGCCAGCACCAGCCCGTCTCACCTCCACCTCCTTCAGCTGCTGCTCATGGTGCTCGCTGAGGATGCGAGCCTCCTCGCGCGAGCCCCGCAACAGCTGCTGCGTCTGCGCCAGCTCAGCAAGAACCGCCGCAAGCACATCGGCATGCTCCGCCGCTGCAGCAGCAGCAGCCTCCTCACGCTGCGCGGCCGCGGCGGCCAGCTCTGCGGCATGCGCCCGGCGCTGCGCATCAAGCGCCACGGCGTGCTGGTCCGCAGCTGCAGCGGCTGCCGCAGCCGCCTCGGCCGCCTGCTCCTGGTGCGCCGCCACCTGCTGCAGCAGCTGCTGCCGCTGCTGCTCGTGCTGGGCAGCCAGCCCCTGCGCCTCGGCGCTGCTAGCCGCCAGCCGCTGCATCAGCTGCGCCTTGTGCTGCTGCTCCGCCTCAAGCGCCGCCTGCTGCTCAGCCAGCTACCGCCGCTGCTCCTCCTCAAGCATCTCACGCTCCCGCTGAAGCTGCTCCACTTTGCGCACCGCCTCCTGCTGCTCTTGCTGCACCAAGGAAACACCAGGGAGACATCAGGCGAGCAGGCGGGCAGGGGATGAGCAGGGCACGAAGAACACGGATGCTCCCAATGCACCAGCACGGTACCGGCGCTTTACTACCACATCTTTGAGATCGGCAGCCCAGCCATCCAACCACCGACCCACCCGCCCCCGCTCCCCCTGCTGCTCACCTGCAGCTGCGCCTGCACCGCCTCCAGCTGCGCATTCTTCTCCAGCAGGCTTGCCTCCAGCAGGCTGGACTTGCGGTCCTGAGTCTCCAGCGCGGCAATCATCTCGTCGTGCAGGGTGTGGTAGTTGACGCGCTCGTTGACCACCGCCTGCGACAGGGCAGGGAGGTGAAGGTAGGGGCTTAAAGGTGACTGTCTGGGCATGGAAGGGCTGGGAGGGGCAAGGGCTGGTGAGCAGATGGGTCGGCGGATGGTACATCTGCTATTTAAACGAGAGGGCAACCCACCACAGCACGCATGGCACCACTGCAAGCCACCGCAAGCCACATGCTGCCCTAAAATCTCACCTGCGTGCGCACACACATGGCGCGCAGCCCAAACTGCAGGCTCTGCAGCGTCTCGTCGACATGCTCCGCCGCATCGCAGGCCACCACCAGCAGGCTGGTCTTGGCGTTGCCACCCAGAAAATCCTGCGCGGGATACACAGGGGGCCACACACGGAGCGGCGGCAGAAGCTCAGAGCGGCCTACATCGCCGTTCTGGCCGGCAACTCCTGGCGCTGAACGCCCTTACGCGCCACATTACAACAGCCGCTCCCGCCATCCTGCCGCTGCCGTGATGGCACTGGCGCTGGGCTGCCTACTGCGTCCGACCCTTCTGCTGCCCAACACACAGTTTGGCGCACCTGGAGCAGGCGGGTGAGCTTGGAGTCGCGGAAGGGGACGTGGGTGGCTGCGGGGTCGGCCCGCGCGTTGATGCACATGCCCAGCGTGGTGAGGGAGAGGTTGATGGACTTGCCTTCGCTGGCACGCAGCCCCGTGGACTTGCTCTTCTTCAGCCGCTCGCTGCCCGCCAGGTCAACCAGGAACAGCTTGCCCACCTGCCCCACGGTAAGGGTAGGGTGGGGACAAGCCTGCCTCTGCCCCCAGCCACAAGGAAGGAAGCGGAGCCACGGCTGGGCGGCCAAGCTACCATGCTGCCAAGGCCACAAAGCCCACCACCCCCAGCCAGCCTCACGGCAGCCAGCCCACCTTGACGCGCTGGATCTTGGCCTCCCCCGTCCCCGACACCGACCGCCGCTTGATGACGGTCAGCATGATCACAGCGTGGGAGCGGCTGGAGTGGGCGTTGAGCGCGGTGAAGGCGGTGGGGCGGTTGCGGTCGCCCAGGTGAAGCAGGTGCAGGCACTGCGTGATGTTCTGCACCTCCTGCTGGTGCACACCCGACACAAACACGCCGCCCTCATTCTCCCGGATCTGCAGGTTCTCGCTCTCGGAGCGAAGCAGGTCCTGCGCGGAGGTTGGAGGGCGGGGGCAGGAGCAGCACGCAGGAGTGGGAGGGTGACGAAGCAAGGGGAGCGGCCATGCTATGAGGGGCAGCCCAGACACCACTGCGTGCACACAACACACAACAGCACACCAAACCACACAAACATGATCGCGCGCACACATACAACAACAACAACAAACAAATACCACCCGTGACCCCGCCCAGGCCCCCCCAGCGG